ATTTCGAAAGGCATTAAAAAATTTATTGCAAAATATTTTATTTAGACTGATGACAAATCTGATATTTAGGTAATAGTAAAATGCTTCTTAAAAAATTGGTAATAGATTTTTTTTTAATAGATTTACAACATTTTCTGACAATTTACCACATTTTGAGACAATCCACGACTGTTATGCATGTTTTCTATATATATATATATATATATATATATATATATATATTTAAATTTAATATTCAAAACCGTCATTTTCCTTGAGATTTTATTAAAATCCACAAAAATCTCATCCGTCATCTTTTTGCATATTACTGCACTTTTATGCATTTTTGCACATATTCCATATAAATGCAAATAAATGCATGTACATGTCATAAAAAATATAAATAGATATAAAATAGATAAATGAAGTCCAGAAAATTAGGTATTATAAAATTAATATTAATTTTTAAAATTTAATTATTAATCGCCACGATAATATAAAAAAAATTCACATGGGTAAACTTTATTTGATAATTTAGTTCTAAAAAAACTGAATGCATCAAAGAAGATTATTTTGACAAAATTCCTAGAAACACATATTTTATATGACTGACAAAAAATCTGGACAAAAGTTTTGAACAAAAATATTGAAACAAAATAAACTCTCAATTGTGACAGTTTTATATATGAAGGACTTACAATACGTTTTATTAAAAATTTATATATATTATTTTAATATATATAATAATAATTTATATATATATATATATTATTTCTTAAAAATAGCATTAGAGAATATTTAGTTTTGTTCGATATAAATAAAATAGGTTTATATTTTTTGCTGCAAAAAAAAGAATCGATATCTTTTCTTTAAGGAAAAAACCCATTCGTTTGATTGATTGAATCTTTTGTACCCTTTTTTATTATTTATCAAATTAAAGAACTTCATCTAATTTTAAAAACGACATTTCTTACTAATTTTGTCTGAAAATATCTATAATATAGCATAAAAATATTTATTTCAACTGAAGCAAATTTCTAGCTCCAAAATAGCAAATAAATAATGAAAAAAGTTGATTTGTTTATTTCTGCGTCCATTCATCTGATTTTTTTTTAATCTCAGCCAAATAATGAAATTATTTAGCAGATTTCTAGCTCTAATAGAACAAAAAAATAGCCTTTTTGAAATGCAAAAATCGTTTTTTTTTACTTCTAGATTTTATTTTTCTTTTTGATTTTTTTTAATCCTAGCCTAATAATGAAATGTGACTGATTTTACAAGCTTTTTTTTAAAAAAATAATTATTCTAAAAATCTAGAAATAGTCAAAAAAAATAATCTCATAAGTTTGTAAATTAGCATTTAAAATAAATTAATTTTTCTTCATATTTAGAGATAAATTTTTCTCACAAAATTTTATTGTATTATTATCTTATCTCATTCTATTATATTATTTTAATTTTTATCATTGTACCTAACCAATTTTTTTTTAATTTCAGCCTAATAATGAAATTTGACTTATTTTATAGACATTTTTTTAAAAATAATTATTCTGGAAAATCTAGAAATAGACAAAAAAAACGTCATCTAAACTAGGTGTTTATTTTCTCGTTGCAAAAAAGCGAAAAAAATGCATTTATAATGCAAAAAATCATTTTTTTATTTTTATATCCAATTATTTAATCTAATAATTTTATAATATAATTTAGTAATATAATTTTATAATCCAATATTTTAATTTTTATCATTGTACCTAAACAATTTTTTTTAAATTTTAGCTTAATAATGAAATTTGATTTATTTTAATAGCATCTTTTTTTTTAAATATTTGTTCTCAAAAATCTAGAAATCTTCAACCAAAAAAATGTCATCAGTCCCAAACTAGTAAATAATTTTCTCGTTGCAAAAATAGCGAAAAAATACCCTTTCATAATGCAAAAAATCAATTTTTTTATTTTTATATTCATTTATCTGATTTTTCTTAATCCTTGCCAAATAATGAATGTGATTTATTTTAAAAGCATCTTTTTTAAAAATAATTATTCTAAAAGATCTAAAAATAGTCAAAAAAATATTTCAACTATTCAAAACTAGGTGTTTATTTTCTCGCTCCAGGAAAAATGGAAAAAATTCCCTTTTATAATGAAAAAAAATTGATTACTTTATTTCTATATGCATTTATCTGATTTTCTTTAATCTAAGACAAATAATGAAACTTGACTTATTTTATTAGAATCTTTTTCAAAAATAATTATTTTCAAAAATCTAGAAATTGCCAACAACAATTCGCTCAAGAAAAAACGAAAAAATAGTTTTTCATAATGCAAATAATCGATTTTTTTATTTCTATATTCATTTATCTCATTTTCTTCTATTCTAGTCAATTTTATAATGAAAAAATTCATTAATTCAATAATTTTCAAAAATCTAAAAATCATCAACAAAATATTTCAACTATCCCAATCTAGGTGTTTATTTCCTCGCTCCAGAAAAACGTAGAAAAATATCCTTTTCCATAAAGGAAAATTCCTATTCGTTTGATTCCTATATCCATTCCTTACATCCTAATCTGTTTTTCCCTTAGTCCTTAGTCCAAAATACACCTTTTCATAGAAAATATAATGAAATCGGCGATAAACGAATTTCGTCATTTGGGCAAAACTAAGTAAGGAAAATTCTACCGAGAGGAAAATGTCACGGACGAAAATTATATATATAGAAATATATGGGGAAAATATAATTAGACGCGAATTTGGTAGAAATAATATTTAACAGACAGAATAAAATTATGAACAAATTAATTTTTTTTTTTAATTTAAAAATTTGCTTTATTTGACTTAAATACATACATTGATTTTTACATAAAGAAAAAATCAATGTATGTATTTAAGCCAAATAAAGCAAATTTTCAATTTAAAAAAAAATTAATGATAATAATAATAATAGTTTTTAAATTGTTTAAAAATTAATTGATTTAGGACGTGAAATATATTTTTGACCCACGATATTACATTTGACTAAAGGGTATATTTTATTCCATTTTTTTGATATTTCGATTTTATTTGCTCCTAAAATGCTTCTAAGATGATAAAAAAATCTCTGAACGTTTCAGCTCTTAATAATAACTTTAAGATAGATTAAAAAAAATCGAAAATATCCTTATTAAGGACCAACCTAATATATATATTAGGTTGGTATATATATATATATATATATATATATATATATATATATCTGACACTAAAAATCTACTAAGGAAAGAAACTTTGAATTAAGTAAAAATATTCTTTTGTACACATTTTATAATCTCTATATAAACCTCTATAAACACATTTTTCTCTTAAAAGAGAAGTTTACGATAAAAACGTGTTTATCGACGATTTAGTTCAATAGGTAAACAAATATATACTTATATATATATATATATATATATATATATATATATGAGACTTTTTACTGAAATAATGAATTTTACTGATATATTTTCCTCAATTTCTATTCAAATTTATTGAATTTATTACAAAATCATTTATCAATTTTTCAACTCTTGTTGTCTTTTGTATAGTAAAAATATATCAATCCGTTTTATTTTAAACTTGCCTAAACACAAAATTGTTTCTCATATATTTATAAATTATCAACTAACTTTATAAAATTATCAATTAATTTTATAGGATTTCAATAATACAATTTGGTATATGAATAAAGTTTAATTCAGGCAAAACTTTAATTTATCAAAATTCGATTTTTTTTTATTGATTTTAATAATAGTTTTCAGTATTCATTTCAATAAACGTGCTTGAAATATTTTTGAAGTAAGTTTGAATTGATTCTTTTAAAAACATTATATTTATTTGTCAATCTCTTACTTTTTTATCTAACTTAATCTATGAAAAAAAAATATCATGGGAATAATAATTTTTATATTTAGTTCTTTATACCAAATAATTTTCATTATTGTTAGACTTCGCAAATGAAGCGTAAAAAATATATTTTCTTTCTTTTCAACTTTTATTTAGTATTAAATTTCTGAATAATAAAAATCAATTCCGATAGTACATTGTCTTTAAATCAGAAATTCAAGATTTTATATTTCTCCCAGAAGGATTCTCTAAGTGGTTATATAAAATTCAATTTTGTTAGAATAACAACTATTATGTTATTGTAGAATATACTCAATTTTACACTATGTCGAAAATTAGGTTTGTTTCTATAAATTTTAACACTTCCGTATATAAAAAAAGATTTTTTATTAACTACGTTTATATAAATATTTTATAAACATTTTATATTATTCTAAAATTATGAATAAATTAGTTCAATAACATGAACTGTTTCCACTTATTTTTATATTTGAGTTAATTAGAATTTTTAGCATAAATAAGCAGTATTTAGTTCTAAAATATTTTTTATATTCTAATTTTTCTTCAAAAATACTTACTTTTTAAAAGGGCACTTCAAATTTATTGCAGAATATTTTATTTAGAATGATAAGAATTCTGATATTAAGTTGTGGTTATAATAAAAATGATTTATTTCGTATAAAATTTACAATTGAATTTTCATTTATGATATTACACGAATAGTTACTTGATTTAGTTTGTAAAAAACTTAAGACTATCATTAAATAACCTTTATTTCTAAAATTACTGAAATAACTAAAATAACAGTTGCAAAAATGTTTCGATCAAGAAGGGCAGAAAATTAAATTGATCGTAATTTTCTATAATTTTCCTGGATTTGTCACTAAAATATTATAAATGCTGGTTGAATAAATCTAACAATTAGTACCAGAATATAAAACTAAGCTAAACAAGAACAATTGATATTTGTTAAAAAATTCTTAAAATACATTAGTAAAACTAATTATTCTTCAGATCATTCGTAGACTCTAATAATGTGTAATAGATTTCGAAATTAGTGAAAAATAATTTTATGAATCAATTTTATTATATACAATTTGAAATTGGATTTGTCTTATATATATATATATATATATATATAAATAAATTTTTACCCTTACCTTAGTAGCAGGCAATCCTTCAATAGTAGCAACCGAAAAAGCGACCGAAATCAAAACCGAAAGTCGTATCAACATTTTGCAAAATATACTTTAAATTGCAGACACCAAAAAACTTTAAATTTCCAAAATTTATTAAATAAATTTATCAACTTTTTTTCTCTTTTGGAACCGTTACAATGGTGTCCAGATATCGTTTGAGAGTCGAACTAAAAGCTCTCGAGCTTTTATGGAGCTTTTGGTAGGAAAGAGACAGAGAGGCGCGGTGGAGCGACCTGTAGATTTTCTGTTTTGAGAGGGAAAAAGATAGGTATAGGGCTGTGTTTTGTCCTTTTTTAACATAGAGGAGACCAGGGGGATAATGGACTTATCATTGGTATAAAATATTTTATTTGTCCTGAACAAAGTTTTTGAATTATTTAAGGAACTGCAAAAAATGTCCAGGGCATTGTACAAAACTTAAAACCCGTTTCGAAGTAGTTTTATTGTAAAATTTTACTTCGGATGACATAAAATTGTTTATGCAGATTTTAGTAAATTTTATCTAGTTTCTGCTAAGCTAATTAAAAAAATAATGTCCTGAACAGAGTTTTTAAATGATTTAATAAACTCCAGAAAAAACCGGTTTCGAAGTAGTTTTATTCTAAAATTTTACTTCGGATGACATAAAATTGTTTATGCTAATTTTTAATACATTTTATCTAGTTTCTGTTAAGCGGGGGGATAATGGATTATTTTCTTATCGTCACGTCATAGTTCATTTATATTATTATTTTTGTATCATTTTCATTATTTTATTTTGTTTCATTATGTTTTTATTGTAATGTTTTTATTATTTTATTTCATTTGATATTCTATTTATTGTTTTTTTTTTGTATTATTTCTTTTTTTTGCACTTATCAGATTTGTAAATAAAACATTAAGGTCTTGATTAATAAAAATAAATTATAACAAATATATATATTTATATTTCATTATAATATATTAATAGGGAAAAATGAAGCTCATAAAATATTTTTGAGCATTTAAAAGATTTATATTACATAATTGTTTTGATTATATTTTAAACATTTAGATCTTTCGGATTCAAAATCAATTAGATGTAACATTATCAAGAACTATAATTGAAATGTAATCCTATATCAAAATTTAATACTAATTTTGCAAGTCTTTTTAAAATCATTCCCCAAAACCTTGCTGATGCTCATAGAAACCACCCATAATTCTCTAAAACTATTTAATTATTTTTCTAATTAAATTAAAAGACTTCCTAATGGTTTTAGGGTCTTTTTAACAATTTTAGTAACCTAAAATGCCTAATGACTTATTTAATTTTAACTACGAAATGCAAATAAACAAGTTTTATACGTCAACAAAATAAATTCTATAAAATTTTTGTTTTTTTTTTTCAAGATTTCTCAGTTTACTTTGTGGAATTTATTATAATTAACTTCCCGTAGGGTAATTTATTGTAATGGGCTGAAAATCGAAATTGAAAATTTTTACATTTCTCGACGTTTTGAAGGTTTCTGAACATTTTGGCATACTTCAGAAAAAATGGATGTGTGTGTGTATGTATGTATGGATACAAATTTCCAGTCACGTTTTTGGGCGCACGGATCAACCGATTTGAATGGTTAAAAAAACATTCGATTCCTATTGATAGGGAGATGTGCTGATTAGTTTTTGGAAAAGGCAGGCTCAGCCATTTCGAAGATACGAAGCTAAATGTGTAAAAAATGGCAGTTTTTGAGAGAACTAAGCGTCCGATTTAAATGATACAAAGAACTTTCTGCTTGTCTTAACAAAATAATTGATTTTGAAAAAAAAAATGTTTCAACTTTTTTTTTTCAAAATAATTTTTTTTTGAATATCGAAAATAATTCATATTTTATTTTTAATTCTGACTAAAGTTCTAATATACTTTAAACAAATAATTTTAACTTTGCAGTTCAGTTTATAAAATTCTTATGAATATTAGACAATGTTACAATATTAATAATAATCTATTTGAAAACATTCAGTATTCCTCGAACATTTCGTTACGGTACGGGAAGTTCCAGCAATTTGCCTTAAGGCACGATGCCATACATCCCACTAGTTTAATTTTATTTCATTGAAGGGTTTAAGGATTTGTTTTAACCCGGTTATCCCCTAATTGTGGGCGTTTTGCAGATTGATACTTAGATTAGTTTGTTTGTAAAATATAATATTGAATAGATTTTTTCGATATTTTTTGGTCTAGATAAATATAAGTTTTTCCTGGATAATTTTATTTGGTCACGTGACTAACAATTTTGTAGGAAATAAAATAAAAAAATATATTTTTATATGATAAAATTGATGGGACATAAAATAGCATATTTGATATGGGAAACAATGCAGGTAAATAAGTATTATATACAATTTGCATTTTTTCAGATACTTCTAAAAAAATATCTTTATAAATAAAGTAATAAATTAAATAATTAAAATATTTAAAAAATTTATATGCAAATTGACTAATGTAAATAAAGCAATTTTTTCCTTAAATTAAACTTGGAATTCGACCTTCAATTTAATTTTCTTCTCCTTACAATCTTCTTTAGAAATACAAAAATTGAAATTTAATACTTTACCATTTTAATCATAATCATACTATTATTCATTATTTATTACAAATTATTTATTATTCCGAAATTTTACTTAGCAACTTTAATTTGTTATTCTATTTTGAGAAAATTTTTGTTTTTTCAACTTGTTGCTAGGTTTTTACATCATTTTCAAATAATTGGATTTAAATCGACACAAAGTTTGGAAAACAAATAAGATTGATAAATTGAAAGGCCGGAAAAGTTTAAGGGATTTTTCTTTATAAACCGTTTATATTTAATACACACATGTATATATATATATATATATATATATATATATATATATATATATATATATACGGATATATTATAAAAAGTTTTTCAGCCATCCAATTATTAAGTAAAAAACAAAGTTAGGTAATTTAGGAGTGACTTTAAATATTTTAGTAGAATTTCAAGTCCTATTTGGCTCATTTTTAGCAAAAAAAATATTATAAAAAAAAAGAAATGAGATTCATATAATAAAACAGATGAAATGATAAAATATGAGCTGACTAATTTTATCAAAAAATAAAAAAATAAAACTAATTGCTATTAAATACATTAAAATAATTTTAAGTAACAAGCACCACAAAATGATTGAAAAAAAATTAATAAATAGTCGATTGAGTTTATGCAAAAAAAAAATTAAGTAACTCAGAGTAAATTCATAAATTTTATGAAAATGTATATTTTTAGTTTATTTTAGATTTATAAAATGGCAAAGTGTATCTTGTTCCACCTTTTGTTTATCTGAATAAAATATATTGAGAATATGAATAAAAACCTTGAATGCATTTCACGTGGAAACTATGTAAATAAGAATGGAATATAAAATTTATAGAATTTTTTAAATCGATATATCAGAAAAGTGAAAAAAATATCAATCTCTCATATTTTTCGTTAAATTAAGTAAATCGAATTATTTATTAAAAATGAACTTGAACAAATATCAAAGCAATCTGTAATTAGTGAAAAAAATTTCAATCTCTCATATATTTTTGAAATTAAGTAAAATGAACAGTTTATTAAAAATGAACTTGAAAAAATATCAAAGCAATCTGTAATAATTAATCATAGTAATGAAATATCATTTTTAAAAATTTAACCATTTTCTTTTTGTTGAAATCATATTTTTTATCAATTTTATTAATATTCTTAAGTTTTCTATTCTGTTCATTGTTCTTTCATAAGGCTAAAAATATTTTCAATTGAAATAATATTGAGGTCTGATAATTTGATATTTAAATATCACAACTGCTCGATATCAGGTTGAGTTCTAGTATGCTTTAAGAGGGTATCATTTAAATAAAAATTTGAAAGAAAATATTTATATTATAAAAATACTTATTAATGTGGTTAAAAAAATATATACTGTAAAGGAACGTATAAATTAGTTAAACTAAATAGCAAAATAACATAAAATTTGTTAAACAAAATTATTATATAGTAAAAGTTAATTTGTTACAAAAAATACTTGCAATGTAAATGTGTGTTAAAAAATGCTACTTATATTTAAAAATAATTAAAATTAAATAAATATATAGAAGTTTATAGAAAATAAATTAAATAATAAATTAATAAAAAATAAAATATTTAATTAAATTATATTAAATTTGTTAAATGTTGACTTGAGCCTTATTTTAATAAATGAATAGATAAAAAATGAACTAGTTTTCAGTTCTATTTCTATTTTTTTCTGTCTATTATTTTATAGGCACGTGTCATAAAATTGAAAACATTTCTTATATATATATATATATATATATATATAATATTATTGTCAGAGAACAGCCCTTCGAAGGGCTTAAATTTTAAGCCTGAAGCCCATTGATCGAACACGAATTAATAATGTTGTTTCAGGTTTTTGTCAAAAATTTATTTGGCTTTTGTGAAAAGGACTGATTAATTCGTTATTAATTACAGGAATTATTATTCAGAGGGAAATTGCAGTATATATATATATATATATATATATATATATATATATGTAGTTGACTTATTTTCATATAAATTTATACGATTCGATAAGTTTTTATTAGAAAAGAAAATGAGAAAAACGTACACAGGAAATTATATACGATTATTGTTATAATCGTTATATATATATATATATATATATATATATATATATATATATATATATACAAATAAAACTTTTTATATATTTACTTGCACAAAATCCTAACAAGTGTCCTCAGGTTTTACACGTATTTTATTTATATAAAGTCCTTAACAAATATTTGAGCTTTTTTAGAAAGCTGTTAACCCTTAAATTTGTAACATATAAAACATACCCTAAACAATTATACCCACTTTATATTTTTTATTTGTTCTAAACTTTAACAATTTTATAAAAGACAGTTGGAAATATAAATATTGATCTAGAAACATTATATAGAAAATTTAATTGTAAAAAATTAAAATACTTGTATCTGAATAATGGTTTTCTAAAGTAAATGAAAAATTTACT